TCTCTCCTAATTTGTTGTGCTTGCTCAGTGAAATTGAATCCCACATCATTTCAGGCAAGTCTTGGAGAAGTTGTTTTCCTCGGTGCAGATGGCTTTTTCCTCCAGATGTGACAGGCAGCTACGAGCTGCCTCATTTTTTCTTAACCCTTCTGCCCATCTTGTAATCACGCTGATGCTACGGCCACAGTAGTACTGTGGTCCTTGCCCCATATCCGATTTTCCTGGGACTATAAGCTGTCGTGCATGTCAGTCACAGCATGCGCCACACAGGCTCCTGTACCTATTGCATGTTGCTTTGGTTCGCGTGGTTTGTTTTCTTGTCTGTTTTAATGAGGACAGAGTAAAATTCAAGAGCGCGGCGGCCCCTGGGAGATATCCCTGCTGGAAGCTCTCGTGGCAACTTGGCTCCAGCGAGGGTGCAGCCCTTTGTGTTTGCGGCTGCAAATGTTCCAGCCTTGCATCTTCAGCCCAATGTAGCCAAGGAGAACCTGTACCCTTGCCGTTTCCCTTCACCCTGTTTGTTTCACTTGGGAACACAATGAGCTGTCAAAATTTCCTGCCCTGTTTCCACAGAATCCTTCCTTTTACTCCGAAAGGGATTATTTATCTAAAACTGCTAATTGCATAAATTGTCAGAACAATTGCTTAGCTTGATCTTAAGGTGGAGAGCAAAGAGATGTAAAAGTCTGGTGGACTTATGAAAGTCGCCCTCAAAGTCCTCTGTCAAAGCAAAAAAGAGAGTCTGGTGTGTTGCCATTAATGGCCCTTGTCCCTCAGAAATTAAAAATCATGCGGTATGGTGTACATCTGGTGCAATCCCTATTTTTAGTATCTCTGCTGATTGTACTTACAGGTAATTAAAAGTAATAGGGAAGAATATAAATGTTTTCCAAATAAGTGAGCCAAGAAAAAATAGAGGAAAGCAGGTGTGGTTGATTTAGCCCACCACTACTTCCTAACTAATCTTTCTCTAACGATGTAGAAGGAGACTAGGTGGCACCTGGCAAAGTGCTTTGAAATAACAGATTCATGAGGTAGAGCTACTTGATAACATCTTTGACTCATCAGAAACTTGCCTTCCCTGAGGGTAAAGTTAATAATCCTTGAATATAAGGATTTTAGTGACTTTTACTAAGTCAGGGGGGATGCAGATTTATTCTGCATATAGATTCTTACAGTGCTACAGACAGACCAAACTTTTAGTATCATCTTATTTATTGTATTATTAAAAATGTAAAATGACACAAATAGCCAATCCAAATAATCAGTAATTCTCCATGACTTCAGGTCCTCGGTTTTGCTGGTTAAATAAAACTCATTTGCATTTTCTTAGTTTGAAGAACATAGAACGGGTGGTAAGTTTGTCAGTCATCATGCATAGTCCTTAACTATTTCAGGTACTCTTCCAGTGCCATCAGCTGCTTCGGTTGTTTTAATCTTCTTCAGAATGATATTCTTCTGATCACCTAAACGGTTCTTTTCCCACTCTGCTGCTAACCCACTTTGGGCATTGCTCCAGGGTGATTTTCCTTTTATCAAATGGCTCTTTAGTACCCTGATCATCTTCCTAGAGGTTCTTCTCTGCACTTCTTCCAGGAGGAATTCAGCTTCCTCAGAGACAGTATTTCAGATGAACTTACACCAGGTGTTTTGACTAATGGCATCAATACCCCCCTTGCTTTCCCTCTCTTTATTGGAGTTACCTTGCCTGCATAGTGTGCATACATGTCTGAGTTGGCTAGTCTTTAGTTCTGTAGGAGACATGAGCCTATGAGAGGAAGCGGGGCTACCAGTAAAATGAAAGTGGAAGCTGCAAGTAGCTGGGCCATAGAGCAGTTGGAGCAGAGAAGGTGACAGTAGCAGTGAAGTTTATTTAAAATAGCTCTAGCTGTATATACCTGGTATCTCCCAGCTTTGTGTTATCATCACATCTCACTGGTGCTCTCCTAATTCTTGCTGAGCTCTTCAATAAAAAAGTTTAAGACTGTTCCCAATATGAATCTTCTAAAGACTATGCAGTAATTTTTCCCAAGCAAAAGCTTCCTGTCAGTGCACTTTGTTATCTTCTTGCCTTATTTGAAGTACTTCAGTATCGTGTGTTATCTTGTATGGTCTACTTTGGTAAGTCCATGTTGTGTTTTCTTCTGTGTTTCAGTTGTTTACCTATCTTTAGCATTCTCCTTGTCAAAATCCAGGGTTATACTATTAAGATCAGAGTTAGGCAATTTGTTCCATATGTAACTGTGTATGATTTTGTTATTGTCTAGTACCGTGGCACCTCACTTGATCTTACAGATTTATTCTTTCATGTCCAGAAAGAAAATCAGTCTTTCTGGGTTTACAGTATTGTATGTCTTGGGGTTTTTTACATTTTTTTGAGTTTGAATTTCTCTCTTTTTTTTTTTTTTCAAAGTATCTGTTGATTTAGTCACAGTGACATGTTTATCAGTGTGTTAATGCAGGGGATTATTTGCATTTTCCTGTTAATTCATTGGTGGGTACAGAAAAACAAAAGCCTCAATCAAGGCATGCTCTGAATTTACACCCGTTCTTAATTTGCTGATGCTTGTATTAGTGACGGGGTCAAGCCTGTCTGATTTTTTTGGGTTTATATAATGTGTACCATATGCTTGCTATTCTTACTCTTTCTGCACAAATCAGCCAGTCTGATGGGTCTGCCTGTGGCGGAGAGCAGTGCTTTTAAGTCAAGGTGCTGCCTTATGAGCTCTGACTGAATGGGTGCTGATGAATCTTGCTCCGGTGTTTTACGAACTCTAGCTATTTGCTCCACCCTTCTGCCCTTTAACAGGAGGATTGCAGGGGAGTAGGTCCTGTTGGAGCGGGTCCAGAGGAGGGCCACAAAAATGATCCGAGGGCTGGAGCACCTCTCCTGTGAGGCCAGGCTGAGAGAGTTGGGGTTGTTCAGCCTGGAGAAGAGAAGGCTGCGAGGAGACCTTATTGCGACCTTCCAGTACTTAAAGGGGGCCTACAGGAAGGATGGGGGCAATCTTTAGCAAGGCCTGTTGTGACAGGACAAGGAATAATGGATTTAAACTAAAGAAGAATAGATTTAGACTAGACATTAGAAAGAAATTTTTTACAACGAGGGTGGTGAAGCACGGGAACAGGTTGCCCAGAGAGGTGGTAGAGGCCCCATCCCTGGCAACATTCAAGGTCAGGTTGGACGGGGCTCTGAGCAACCTGATCCAGTTAAAGCTGTCCCTGCTCACTGCAGGGGGGTTGGGCTAGATGGTCTCTAAAGGTCCCTTCCAACCCAAAGCATTCTATGATTCTATGATATACTGCCCTTGCCACAACTTAACCCATGATTTTAAACTGCTGATGAAGGTATACCCGTGCTATTATCATACCTTTGAAGTCCAACAGCTGAAGAGCAGGCGGAGGTTTGCACCTCCTGCCCCTGCTATCAGGAGGGGTAAGTGGGGTCAACAACAGCTTGAGTTGTTTTGGGCTGGTTCCTTAGAGCCAGCGGCTGGCAAGCAGGAGCTGAGTACAGGGAACACGTGTTCCATCTCTGGAAACAAAAAAACAAAGCAAAAGTAAGGATGAGAGAAAATAGATTTATATTTATAATCAAAAGTGACTGTGTTTGAAATAGTCTTAATTTGAGTGCATGCTCCTCTGTCTTTCATACCTCTAAGGACCCCTAGAGGGCACGGAAGTTTTTCTCCACCTCGAATATTTAACTTAATAGTTCTACTTGGCTTTCTTCCCTTAAACATAATCATAAGCACATTTTAAGTGAGCATTAGATAGAAAAAAATAACAGCATCTAACTAGGTCCTTCTTTTACGCTGCAAGATGTTTTCTTGTTTTTAAACACAAGCAGTAGAAGCTAGCACTAGCAGCCAAATTCTTAAATTATTTTTGTTTACATTAGTCAGATGCTATATTTGTATCCCAGAGGAAGCACAATTCAAACTAACTAATAATTCATAATTTTATTGCAAACCTTGAGAGGCCTACAGTGTGAGTTGTCTGAGGAAGTGCAGTGGGTATGCTTTCAGCCTTATGGCCTGTGTTTCTGTAGAGGAAGAACTGGTACTGTGAAGAACTCCAGTGCTCTAACCTGAACCTCTAAAATCTCCAAATGTCATCTTATTTAAGATTTTTTAATGTTTTGGTCTTGTTATTTGCCTATAAAGAAATTATGAAATTACAGTACAAGATACTTAAAGCTATGGAAGTGTAAAAATGACATCTGCTTCCCACTGCTTCCTATCTGCTTAGTGTGGTTTTGTAACTCTTATTCATCCCGAGTAGCATTTTTCTTCTTAAATTAATTTTGTCTGTTTCATCAATGTTACATGGTAAGTCAGGTATTAATCAATGTGAAGTACACAGCGATACGAATTCTTAGTATTGTGCTGTCACTTTATGATATTTAAATTTACATCATAAAGCTCTTATCTGAGAACATCAGGTTTTGCTTAAATAAAGCAGCTTCGGGGTTTGAGGAGAAGGCTGACATTTTCTAGAATGCTCAAAGAGCAGTAAGTAAAACAAAACCAAGCAAACAAACAAACAAAAAAATTTTTAAAATCTTCATATTTTGTTTGGGTGTTTTTTTCATCAACTCATCATTTTGAGACCAGTCCCACAGCTTTGGAGGTCTGTTGGACTGTGAGCCTAGTCCAAGGTTGAGACCTTTGTGTGTGATGACAGAATCTAACTGGTCTTGTCTGGGCAAAGAAACTGGACCTCTACACTACTCCTGAAGCAGTGAGAGTCTACTTACTGAGTGAGAAGCTGTTCAATAGAATAAACATGGGGGGGGGTTGTGCCTTTGTTCTGATAAGATCAGCTGTACTGCTTTACCCAATTACCCAGGGATGTCATGGGAGATGATTTTTTGGACCTTAGTTTTCCCACTGGAAGAGCATAACGTCATCACTTTGAATAGAAAATAGATCTAGATGTAAACAGCAGAGAAAGGCAGCTGCCCCTTCTAACATCTCTGGGGATTTTGTGTTTTGCAGGAGATGCACGGGTGAGAGGTCAGACAGGGGTTCTCTCCGAGCGCCGTGGCTCCTACCCGTTTATAGACTTCCGTCTTCTTAACAGTAAGTGCAACCTTTCCTTCAGGTCTGTATTTGGGGAAGAAAAAAAAAAAATCTGTATTGAAAGTATACGAACCAAAGTATCTCATTTCATACATATCTGTAGTTCAGCTGTCTTCATACAGTCAGCATTAATAATTCTATTATTCCTACCCAGTGTTTGACTGTGAAATGTTTTGATTGTATGAATACTGTCCATAATGCTGAGTCTGTCAAGTAAATACAGTTGTGCCATGGGGTGTGCTGGGGGGAAGACAAGGGGTGCTTCAGAATTAAAAAGATAAACCTCTGTGTCCTTTAGCCTCTTAGCCAACAGTTGGAACAGATTTATGTGATACTGTTATCCGGTCATATAGAATTGGCACAGAAGGGGAGCATGTGACAGCACTGACCAGTGGTTTACAATAACATTAATTTTTCCAACAATTAGAACCCAATCCAAAGCCCCATGGAGTCTTCTCATTGACGTCAATGGATTTTGGGTCAGGCCAGCAGTGAACATCTGTTAAAAATAATCTTAACCTCATTTTGATTGAAGTTATTTTGCCACTGTTGTAAATAAAGGAGGGCAAATCTAAAAGAAAAAAAAAAAAATCAAGATCCTGGGGGTTTTTTCACCTGATGGATTCTCTATACTGATGCAGACCCATTAGCCGGTATATAAAAAATAAAATACAGCAAAAAAACAGAGAACTCTTAGTCTTGGGCCCTGTAGCATTCAGTCTGGATGCTGTGTTAACTCCGGTGTTGAGATGCAGGCAGATCCCGATGTGTCCTTGCACTGCACAGACTACTCCATGTAATGTTTGAAACAAAAGCTAATTCACTGTCTTCATCAAACGGACTGAAACTCCGGCAGCTAGTTTAGTGATGACACTTTTAAGCTTCTAGCGATGATGCTTTTCATTAAAAAGCAATTATCAAACCGAAGTTTCACATCTCTTTTTTTGTAACTGCTTTCCCGAGTGCCAGGAGAAGGGGAAGGGAGGTAGGTGGCAGGGAGCGGGGGAAGAAGGCCGGCCGCAAAGGGTGAGGTCTGGCTGGGAGTCAGGAGAAGAGAGAGGCTTTAGGAAGCCTCTCTTAGGAATAGGAATAGGAATAGGAAGGGGAGGACTGGGGCTCTGAGCAGCTGCATTCGCCCAAGCTGGCAGAGTTTCTGCCGCCTGGCAAAGTGCTTGCTTTCAGTCTTGCTGACAAAAGGTATTTTCTAGGTCGTAAGTCCGTCGGAGTGCTTGCTGTGGCTGAGGTAGAAAGACATAAGGGGTAAGACGGGTCCAGCAGTTTTCCCAGGGCAAAGGGAATAACGTACTGGTTGGGCAGAGCTCTGAGGATAATTTAGTCCTGGCTTGCCAATGAAAAATGTGAAGAAAAATCTGGTTTAAGCTAGCTGGAAGTATTACTGTTGATGCCCGTATAAAGACTGAGAGAAAATAAAACACTTCTTTTCATTCATGAAGTAGAAGTCAATATATATTCACATTTGAATGTGACTAAATTAATTATTTCCTTTTTATTTTTAATACATACACATTATTTAAAATTCTCATCATATGTGCTTTCCTGGTTAAAGACACCAAAAACTTTTCAGCTCTTTTTTCTGGGCAATAGGGCTTTCACTTTTATCCCCTGTAGATGAATCCTGCCATCCTTCAGATCCTGCCAGCTGCTAGGAAGTGCAGGTACTGTCCGTGGGCTGTCTATGGAGAGGTCCACGGCGAGAGATGTACCGGTGACTGCTCAGCCTTTGATCTTACAAGGAGCAGGGCACGCCGCATAACCCCTCTCCTGTCACTGCTGAACTTAAAAGCGATGCCTCTCTCTGCATGCACCTCTGGTCCCACAGAGGTGGGGCATGTGGGGGTTTTATGTTCCTGCGCTCTCTGTCCTGGGGACTTCTGACTTAATCTTTCTTTTTACTGCTTTTCCTTAATCTGAAAGAAGTCACTACGGCTGATCATGATCTCTGGCTAAGGAAAAGGAGTGATCCTGATTTTGTATTTCCCATTGTTTTCAGTTTTTTATGTATTTACTGCTTTCTGCCTAGGGAGTGGTGTTGGCTTAATTTTTCAGTGCAAAATTAAGTGAGATATCTAGGCATTTGACTACGAATTTTGTAGATGGCAAGTGCACTGGGCCTGGCTCACTTGGTGTCCTACAGGTAAACTGCAAACTTTTTTGAAACCTGCCTAATAATTGCAGTAAAATTTTGGTACCTTGTTACCTTTGTTTGGGGGCAATAACTGACAGGCAGCAACTGTATACTGAAAGCTGTTACAGTAAGGGAGGGAGAGAGGCAGAGAAAATTTTATGGTAAATATCCTCAGAAGTTATAAAGAAATGCATCATAAACATTAGTCCTGCTTCTCACTAATTCAGACAAACTGAGCTTAAATAGTGATAGTTCCCTCTACCATCTGAAATACTATTCCAAATAACAGTACCACCCTTGTTTTAAAGTAAGGGAAAACACTGAAGCTCATTCTTGAACAGAGTTGACATTAATTTTGAAAATTGACATTTAAAAAAAATTCAGGGCATTGCTATTTAATGTCAGACTAAAGATTACTTAAATGTAACTTTTTTAACATACTTACAGATTCGGTCAAACTAGTGGATTTTTCCCTCCTATGGCTATTAAGGGTTAACACCAAGTAGACCATATCTTTTGTTTTTTCTGGAGTCCTGCAGTAAAGTCGCTGTGTAATTTAAGACACCATTAAGTCTTTTTGGATAGGAAAACTTCCTGCACTCTGAAAATGGGATCTTCTGTAGCCCTAATCAAAGCCAACTGGATTAATGTTGGCTTCTTGCTGTTTGAACTAACGTCTGTGATGCCATCTACACGTTCCTCCGGTGCCTCTCTGCAATATATAAAAACGTAGTGAGTGTTATTTCACCTTGTCAGTGCCAGGCTGTCAGGATTTTGCAGGATCCTGCCTAGAGGAGATGCAAAGCTTTAGCATCTTCCTGTCTTTTCTCTGCTTCATCGCAAGCTTCCCTTGAGGCATAGTTGCACTGGTGGGTTTTGGGCCTCTTAAGATGACTCTGGAATAGAAAACTGAATGTAAAATATCCCTGTGTCACCAAGAACTCCTCGGTTCTGCTTTGCGAGGAGCGTATGTTTGCCTCAGCCTCTTGAGTCAGTCCCTGCAACTTGTGGAGACCTGCATGACCAACCAGATACTCACTTGCGTTGACAGTGTCCATCCAGAAGCTTGAGGGGAAGCTACGTAGCAGCTCCTCTCCCCAGGGAAGCTGCGGCAGACGATACTTGTTAGCCAGCCCTGTGTGAAGACCCCCCAGGAGGCAAGCCAACCATCCCTTTTTCCATCCTGCCGTAATAAGGCAAGGGGATGACCTGCTCCGGATGGCCGCAGATATAGCCCTGAAAAAAATAAGTTGGACATGGCAGACTTGAGGCTTCACGTTCACTAGGGTGCTTATGAACAAATATTCAGACTTTACAAACTCCTAAACTAAAATATACAAGTTTTGCACAGCCCTATAGGTTTACAGGAAAATGGGGAGAGGATTTTGTCTTCATGCAAACAAGGCATTCCTTGAAATGGGAGCAGCAGAAGAAAAAAGACTTAGCATTATAAACTTATTTTCCAGAAGGAGTAATGGGATGGGATAGGCAATTTCTAGGTGCCATCAAGCAGCTGAATATAATGTATAAACGATGTAAGATTGATTCCAAACCAAACCTCACAAATTTTAGGAAAGTTTGACTCTGAACTCAGTAGCTCTAGCTTGTAACTGAACCTCACGCAGGTTGAAATTAATGGTGGCAGTTTATTGGCACTTCTGCATTTCTGTGAATTAAATGAACCTTTTGTGTTCACAGGACAGAAAAGGAGTTAACCTGAGTATGTGCAGTGTAATAATTTAGAGTTTGAAACACTTCTGCAGTGAAAATTAACTTGATCCAATTTTCCTTTAAGCAAAGCATAGTTTGCATCTGAGAAATAAAGGACCGTAGGGTAAGGCAGCAATAATTTAGTTCTCTGATTGACAAAGTTGCTCAGTGAGTCATTGAACCAGATCCCTCCAGTGACTAATGTGCATTGATTAAAACAGATTTCATTATTCCATGATGAGTTGTGCTGGTGACTGTGATGGTACATTTCTTCATTGCATTAACCAAAGGTTTGAGGGAATTCCTTGTGACAAATCTAGAATTATAGGTAGGCAAGCAGCAACAACCAAGGAGACCTCACCCTGCTCCAGTTATATTAGATACTTTGTTTTATTGCCCGATGAAATTGAGTACCAAAATAACATAGTTTACATCTGAGATGAGTAACTTTTTATTTACAAATTTGCTTGTTCAGCTTTAAGTCAGAAGACAAGGACATTCTTAAGACTTAAACAGTGGTTCTCCATTTCCCATCTTGTTTATGCTAAGCTTTTCTCTGGATTGAATTTTTGCCTCCAAATGACAAAATTATTAGCCTCTAATTGGCTATATTTAAATATGCCTATCATGGAGGAATATAATAACAAGTGTTTCTGCTTGCATTTTTAAGTTTTCCTGAAAATTCTCCATTAGGGACACTTTGTCACTGTATCAGTCATACCATTGCTTTCATTATCTTCACCCACTTGTTTTCAGTAAGCCATCCACAGTGTCTGATTGAATTTACTTCTCTATATATTGATCTAGGAGGGATAATGAGGGAAAGGAAAGCATGTAATATGCAAAGTGGAGTCTCTGTACCAAAACAGCATTACCCAAAGAGATGTCTGTTTCCTTCCACCTTGCACAACAGGAACATAGAGTGGGATCTGAGAATTTCTAAAAGGTCAAAACATGTCTCTAGACAGGCCAAAGGTATATCTGTGTATTACATAGGATCTTGGTATTGTCATGCAGGCAGAAGTTGAGTCCAAAAGAACCCCACCTGCTTTAAGCTTAGCTTAGCAAATTAAGTTAGTATAGATGATGTACTTTTAGTACCAGATGGTGATAAACAGTGATCTTAGGTACTACTCAGTCTCTG